AATAAAAAACATGAATGATGTCATGGAATATTGATTCCATAACAACAAAACATACTCTGTAGAGTTTATAGAAAAATAATATACTGGAGTGTTCTCAAATGAACAAATAATAAGAGAAACGATTCTATTAACACTTAAGTAATTGTGCTTTAATTATCTTTTGTTTTAAAAAATAAAAATAAACCAAGAAAAAAACTAAAAACAAGACTTAAAAATCAAAAATGAAATTATTGGTATGTGTTTCACTCATCATTTTTTCTTTTGGTATTGTTGTTAATAAAACTAAAAAGATTAAGTTATATTCTGTTTGTCTTTCTTTGTCATCCTTTTTTATACCTACACTCACTTATAGAAAACAAAACAAAATACTTGTCAAAAAGAACAATGTTCTATTCCATATATTTCCCAAACTTCATTTGACTGTTCTAATGAAGCAAGTGCAAGTGGTTTGTTAAGCAAAGGAGAATTTACTATTGATGATTTGATAGAAGCTATGTACTTTTATGGAACAACAATAGACCTTGTAGGATCATTAAATAAAGACGCCTTTAGCCCACCCTCTTTTATTGTTGTTAAAGTGAATAATAAGCCTGTTAGGTTTGGGGTTATAAATGAAGACTATTTAAAATGTAGATCTGAAGAGTGTTGTATGAGAAGATACAGTGAATCAACAACAGACAGTATTGTCAGAAGAGGAAAAAATATATTTTCAATTGAGAGTCAAAGTAATGTTATATGCATTTCTTCTATAGAGATTAAGTTTAATTATGGAATACAATTACCTGATATTATTACATTAACACCGTCATGTGGTCCTATAGAGGGGAATACAACGATTCAAGTATTTGGGAACAATTTTCAAGAAGAAGGAAAACAATATTATTGTTGGTTTGGGAATGAAAAAAGTAAATTTGATGTAATAAATTCTACATTTGGAAATTGTTTAAGTCCAAATATTAATAAAATTCATTCATATCAATTTCATGTTGGATATGAAGATGATGGAAATATTAAATCAAATGTCGAGTTTGAATATTATAATTGTTCGATAATGAAAGCAGAAAATCAAAATTATCAAGAAAAACAAATTATTATGGTTAATGGAAATGGATTTATTGATACTAAAAGTATTTATTGTAAATTAGAAGAGACTAACTATAGCAAACCATCACCTATTATTTTAAAAGCAGAGTATATTGATCAAAATACAATTATATGTCAAATTAATAATATGGATGAAATTAAAAACAAAGAATATTTTCTTAGTATTTCATTAAATAATGTTGACTATATTAAATACAACATAAGCGTTTTAATTAAACCTGAAGTTCAATATTATAGCATTGAATGGATCATTATTCTAATAATATTGACAATAACTATTATTATTCTTCTATCAATAGTTACTGTTGGTGTTTTATTTATAAAGAAACAATCCCAACAAGAATCTGTTGATCAAACAATCTCAACAAAAGAGATTGTTTGTGATAAAATTATTGGAAGAGGTAGTTTTGGGGATGTATGGAGTGCTAGTTGGAAAGGTCAAGAAATAGCTGTAAAACTCATTCCTATTGAAAGGGTAGAAAAGAAAAATATTGAAGAAGTTACTAAAGAAGTTAAACTTATGAAATCATTAAGACATCCTTGTATTCTTCAATTCTTTGGAAGTGGAATGGATAATAATTTTATGCTTATAGCAATGGAACTAATGCAAAATGGTACTGTTAGAGAGATATTAAATAATAGTTGTATTAATTTAACTATAGAAAATAAATTAAGAATGCTTAAAGACACTGCCAGTGGAATGTTTTATCTTCATCACTGTAAACCACCAATTCTTCATAGAGACCTTAAAACTAATAATTTACTTGTTAATGATAATTGGTGTGTAAAAGTTAGTGATTTTGGATTATCAACACCTTTACTTGGTAAAGAAATTAACACAACAAATCTTTGTGGTACATTAGCATGGATTGCTCCAGAGATTTTACAAAATAAACCATTTGGTATTAAAAGTGATGTGTACTCTTTTGGTATTGTCATGTGGGAAATTCTTACTCGAAAAAGACCATACTCTAAACTTACTCCATATCAGATAATGATTAATGTCAGCCAAAAAGGATCTAGACCTAAAATTCCAAAAAAACTTGCAACTAATGAAATAAATAAAAAATATATTGAATTAATGGAACGTTGCTGGGATGAATTACCTGAAAATCGTCCTTTGTTTGATGAAATTATTGATATTTTGACTGATTTAATAGAAATGACAAAATTTTGTTAATAAATGTTATATATAATCAAAATTTATTTCTTTTTCATTTAAGGAATTTAAAGTACTAAACTTTTATTTATAGATCCAAAAAAGAAGAAAAGAGAAAAATCTAGAGAAAATGAAAAGAAAAAAAGAAAAAGGATTTTTGAGATTCAAAGATGTCTGCTGAACAAATTGCAACATTAACTGTTTGTCTATTTTTTAGTATTAAAAATTAAAGTAAGATGAAAGGTAAATAAATGAATTAACGAAAAAATATTAATAAAATAGTATGAGTTTGAAAGTATTGCAAAGAAATTAGACTATTTACAACATTTAACTAAAGGTTATGCTTCTCTCTTCCAACAAAGAGGAAATACTGAAATTGAATATGCTAAACATTTAATTCAACAATGCTCAACTCCTATGAGAGTTGGAACCCTTTTATTAAAAAAAGAAGTTCCATTAGACTCTCTTGAAAATACTATGAAGAATGCTTTAACTGCATTTAATACAGAAACATTAAAAGTTGCTCAAAGACATAATGAAATGGGTATTATTTTTATTGAACAAGTTTCTAAGCCATTAGAAAATTTACAACGCACACTTGAATTGAACAGAAAAAGAATTGTTAGTGAATATCTTGTAAAACATAAGAACCATCAATTATTAATTAAGAATGCTGAGAAGAGTTCTGAACAATATAAAAAGGCTGTTAATGAATTGAAACAAATTACCTCTCAACTAAATACAGCAATGACACAAAATGTAACTATGGTAGATAAATTAGTAGCTAGAAAACAACAAGCTGTTACTCGTGTACAAACAGCTGAAAATAACTATAAACAAGCAGTTGAAAAAGCTAATGCTTTTGGAGAAGAAATGTATGGTGAACCAGTAAAAAAGATTAATGAAAGTGCCATTGAATTAATTAAGAATCAGTTTGATAGTGCTAAAAATGTTTTTGGTATTGTTGCTACCCAATTAACTGAAGTTGTACCAATTGAAGATGAAGCCTATAAAACACTTAAAACAGAAGTTGACAAGATGAGTTATGAAGAAGACTTAGAACAATTTGTTAAGGCTAATGCTAATGTTCACTCTGCTTATGTTCTTTCTGTTGAACTTGATACTACGTTAAATGAAACACCTGAAGACAATTTTGTTAATGCTCCAACTAGTACTGAAACTCCAGCCACAACAGACTCTACCACTGGAACAGAAAAGAAAGAAGAAGAGAAACCAGTTGAAGAAGAAAAGAAAGAAGAGGAAAAACCAACTGAGGAAGAAAAGAAAGAAGAGGAAAAACCAGCTGAAGAAGAGAACAAGGAGTAAGAACAAACCTCTTTTATTCGATTGAACAATAATGATCAATTGAGACAATTTTCTTTAATAATTATCATAGAGTTATTATTTATTTTTTAATAAGTAGTTAATAATTATAGTTTGTTGCTTGAGGTAAATTATTTCAATGTCTTTGGTGTTAGTAGAAAAACAAAGCACCTACTTTCTCTTGTCATGACTAATTTGTTAGTGATAATAGTAGGAATGTAATTACTTTATCTTTTATGGTCTTAGACTTTTCATTTGAAATGAATGGTTTATATCTCATATATTTCCTTGAAATATTTAAACCATCTTTGCTTTATTAACAAAATAAGAGAAATTTCTTCCAGTGATTTGAAAAATCAAATTCAAACTGTTCATGTAACTTTGCTCAATCAAATAACTATCTAAAAATAAAAGCTGAGATTTTTGAAGAAAAGGAAACAAAAACTTAAAATATGACAAACTGAAAAGATAAAATTATAATTTCACGATGAGACCATCTCATCAATCAGTTTGTTATTTTATTTAAAAATGTTCATTTAGATTTAGTCATTAACGGAGTATAGCCACTTCAATGGATCAATGAACAAGCCAAAATCAACTTGACTAGTTTTAAATCATTGGAGGATGGAGTTGTTTTTGTTCAATTAGTCAACAACCTAACAAATACTAAAGTTGCTTTCAGTGCTCAACCTAAAAATATTTTTCAACGTATAGAAAATTTTAGTGTTGCTTTTGCAACTATTAGGAATAAGTTCAAACATGATTGTACAGAAAATATTATGAGAATGGTTTCTGGAGATGAAGAAGAAATAGCTAAATTTGCTTCAACTTTACAACAAGTTTGGACTGTAAAAAATAAACCAAAAGTGAGTAAATTTGAACCGTTCCATTTTAAAAAGAAGAATGAAAGAACAACAACACATAATACAAATACTGTAATAATGAAAAAATCTACTAAACAATCTATTGTACAAGTTAATGAAATGGATTCAATTAAAAAGGAGAGTATAAAAGAAAATAGTAGTAGTTCTGTTTCAAATGAAGAAGGAAAAGAGTATGAATTTACTGGAGATGAAGAAATTCTTATTGATGAGATAAAAAGAAAAATGAATCGATTTAGAAGAGCTAGTGATCCAAGAGAAATGCAAGTCGTTACTGATGTTGACTTGTATAGTAAAAGGTCTAGAAAAACAATTTGTTTTGGAAAAATTAAGAATGAACAAGTTGGAGAAAGTGCTGAATGTATTGAGTCAAGTGGAACTACAACTACAGAAGGAATAAGTAGTGAAGAGAATGAGAGTGAAAGTTTGTCTTGTAGAGACCAAAGCACTGAAAGACTCAACTCAAGTGAAATAAAAATTGAAGAGAAAAAATTACGACCGAGTCTTCAAGGGAAACTTCATAGGAGAAAAACTACAAGGTTCAGTGCTGAGTTTGGAAAAGAACTTCAAGAGGCTCTTTTAAGACAGCATAACGAACATGAACTACGGGTATTTAATGAAGATCAATTTAAAAATGTACTTAAAGAACTTCATGAAAAAAGAAAGCAAAAAGAGGATGTTGTATTATTAAAGAAATGTGGAGAAAAACAAGCTCTTGCAGTGAAAATGAAACCTAATGGAAGGAATATTTCTCCAAAGAAAGAAGTTCCACCACTCTGTATTAATTCAATGATACAAACAATCTCATATAATAGAGAGGTACCTATTCGAAGAAGAACACAAAGAAGACAATCATGTGCATTGGCTATTGATGAAGTACATGAAATACAAAAAGTTATTGGAGTTGAAAAGAATTGGAATGAGAAAATATATACTGAACAAGACATAGTTCTAGTTAAAGAGATTCAATGGTTAATTAGAAACAGAGAAGCTCATAAAAATGGAATAAAAATTATAAAAAGAATGAAAGAAAGAAAAGGGGCTGTATTAGAATTAATGAAAAATGAGAAATATTTTTTGGAAAATATGGAAATCTTAAAAGAAAGTCTTGAAGTACTTAAGAGTAATGGAGGAGGAAGTATATTTGTTCTTGCACAGGAATATAGGAATAAAGTTGTTGAAGTAACAGAAGAATTAAAGAATAAGTTAGAAGAAATTATTTGTAAGAAAAAAGAAGTATATGGCAATGGAATTGCTCAATGTTTCATAAAGGAATTTGGTAAATTTGAAGAATATGCATATTTCATTAATTTGTATAAAAGAATAATGAATGACTATGAAGAGATTATGAAGAAACAAAGTGAAAAAATGCCAATTTATGAATATATGTTGAAATTGAAAATTAAAAAACAAACTGATTTAGACTCATTAAGTTCTATGCCGTTTCAACATATTATGAGATATAAAATACAACTAAATAGAATTATGGAAACATTACCTAAATATGATTCAAGAATGAAGGAATATGAACAAGCAAATCAAATTGTTGGAGATGTTATTTATAATGTTAATAATCAATATAAAAGTTTTGCTCAATCAACAGAATTAAATGAAATTATTAAAAGACTATCAATTAAAATAGATAAAACATTATTTGGAAGAACAGTTTTATCAATAGAAAATGGTAATATTATTAAAGTGAAATCAAAAGATATTTTTAAAGGGAAGTATAAAGGAAAAACAAAAAAATGTGTTATTCTTATTATTTCTGATGCTATTTTATTTATTGTTAATAAATCATTAACTGATTTAAGTGAAGTACATCTTTCAGATATTTCAGAGAAGAAAAAAGTATTAGTAGAAAATATATTTTATTTTGATAATCTTGTTTTAATGCCATTTAGTTCACATGAAGTACATATTTATAATAATAAAGATGATTATTTAATAAAGTTTTCTAATACAAAGGAAATGACATGTTTTATAAATAAAATAGAAGAAATGATAACTAATTTATGGATTAGATATAGTTCAGTATTAAAGTCAATCAAAGCAGATAATTATTCATTCTTCTCGACTGAAGTAGAGGATACTTCTTTTCATTCAGATGCACTTTTAGATAAAAATACTGTTATTCATATTGTATTAGCTGGAGTTTATTTATACTTATACAAAAGTACTTTAGATTTTGTAAAGCAAAGGAAACCATTACATACATTTAAATTGTTCGAAACTAAAGTTTTAATTCAATGTAACGAATTAGGAGAGACAGCATTTATTACCTTTTGTTCAAATGATAAAGAGATTAAAGTTCAATTACAATCGCTTCCATTAGGAATGTTGTGGATGAATTGTATGAGAAATGAAATGCAGTCACATCTTTATGCTAATAGAAATTGTCTTCCATTATTACCAAACTTACCTATAGGAATTAATCCATGGTATATATGGCAAATTATTCCAAATATTAATGAAAATGATAAATGTTTTCTTTGTGGGAAATTTAGTTCAATGGTCGATGTTCGTACTGGAAAATTTTATTGTACTGAATGTGGAAAAAAGAAAAGAGACGCTTCTTTGTGTGAAACATCTAGAACTGCATTATCAGTACTTGCGTCAATAACAAAAGATTCAAGACAATTATTAGCACGTGGAAATAATATTCTTAAGGCATTAGTCCAAGATCATTAAACATTGTGTTTTTAGTAATTTCAACATATATTTTTGTTTCTTTTTTTTTTCTATTTCTTTTTTTTTTTCTATTTCTTTTTTTAAATGAAACAATGACAACTGTAAGTCAATAGAATTTATTAGAAGGTTTGTTATATTTATTCAACTAAGAATATCATATTACTTCATGACATTATTTAAACAATTCATTTTGTTCTTATTTATTTCATATGGACTCTCTAAACACTTTATGTCATTTTCTGCTGGTGTTATATTTGATGTTGAAGAAGGAGAGTGTTATGAAACTCCAATAGACAAACAACCATTTATCCCGCATTTTGAGAATTACCATTTAGTTGCTTATTTATATTATGACAGTAATTGTACAAAATATTATACTAAAACTCTTTTAAGTGAAACAACATTTACTGGATTAAATAGATTTATTTATGGAAATAATATTCCTAAAAATACTGGTGCTAATCTAAAATTAAGTTCTGATAAAAATCATGGAATTAATAATTATTGGTTAAGTGACTGTGCTGATGATGACATTAATAAAAAAAGGTATATGGTTAATATTCAAAACAAAACAGTCATAAGAAAGTCTTTTGATTATTCTGATATTGATTGCACAGGAGAACCTATTCTTATTGAAACTTTTAAGTGCTATGAAGTTAATAATGACAGGTATATGGATTGTTCACGTGCTTTTCAAAATTAATTAAATTGTGTCATTAAAATAAATTCAGTTAAAATTCCAAATTTTATCTCATTAAGTTTATTTTTTTTTTCATTTCTTTCTATTAATCTCTC